TTCCAGAGATCCGTTTTCTGGTCTCTTCTGGCCGTCTGACCTTGAGTATTGAGCAAAGATAGATGTTGATGAAGGTCTGCAGTTTGTTCGAAGTGCCCTTCATGACGTGTGGCTAACTCTCTGATCCGCATAGTAAATAGCACTGACTTCACATTGGAGTTGAAAATCTGGATCTTATTTTTGATGCTGAGTGCTGTTGACCTCCACACAGACTTGAGAGTAGTGAAAGCTTCTCTTGCTTGTCCGATTCTTGCTTTGATATCCTCGTCAGTTCAGTCCGCCTGTAGTTGGGACGATGCTTCCCGAGTAGGTAGGTAAAAGAGGTTGTTTCTTTCAGGTTCCTTCCATTTATGCTGATTGTTGTCTGTTGTTACTGTTGTTGCTGTTGGTGGTGTTGACCAGGAATCTTCATTACCTCTGTCTTCTCTATGTTCACCTAAAGTCCTATCTTCTCTGGATGCTTCTTGTGCCAACTTGTTGCTTTTCGCTTGCATATCTTCCAGTTTGTGGGAAATCAGACATATATCATCGGCGTGGTCCAGATCCTCCAAGTTCTTTGTGTGGGTCCATTTTATGCCCGTTTACTCGCTGCCCCCCAACTGTCTGTCGCATTATCCAGTCTACTGCAATCAGGAAAATCATTGCCGACTGTAGGCAACCAGCTTGTCTTACTCCTGTCCTCACTTCGGAGGATTCCATAAGTTTCCCGTTGTGGATTACTTGGCATGCAGCATTGTCGTACAGCTGTTGGATGTATGATTTTCGGTGGCATACTGTAGTAGCGAAGTATTTGCCAAAGCACCTCTCGATCGACGCTGTCGAAATCCTTTTCAAAGTCAATGAAGATGAGGTAGAGAGGTGACTGCCATTCCAAGCTTTGTTCAATGATGATCCGTAATGTGGCGATCTGATCAATGCAAGACTTGTTTCTCCTGAATCCAGCCTGTTCCGGTCGAAGTTTTTCATCAAGGTTGGCATGTTTGATTCTCTCCAGGATGATGCGGCTTAGTATTTTGCTTGGGATGGACAAGAGTATAATGCCTCGACAGTTATTGCATTGACTTAAGTCTCCTTCCTTTGGCAGTTTGAATAAGTAGTCTTTCTTCCAATCTGCAGATACCTTGCCTTCTTTCCACACCTTCTCCAGTAATGGTGTTATCAAGTCCGCTGAAGTCTCGGGGTCCATTTTCAATGCTTCTGCTGGGGCTCTGTCTGGTCCTGCTGCTTTTCCAGCTTTTAGCATCTCAACTACCTTCAGGATTTCTGTTCTCGTCGGAAGGTTGATGTCCACTGGTAGTTCTGCTTCCACTGTTGATAATATTGGGCACGTTGTAGGTGGAGGTCGATTAAGAAGTCTTTTGAAGTGTTCAGCCCAGTGTTTCTTTTGCTCCACCTTTTGGTGATTGACTTTCCATTGTCATCCTTCAGTGGCTTAATTTGTGTTGATCTCTTCACCGATAGAAACCTAGTTGTTTGGTAGAGTGTTGCCTGTAGAGTGTCCTTTGTCCGCACTACAGCTTGTTCTGCTTCAATTGTCATAGCTTCATAAAATTTCTTTTGTCTTCCCTGACTCTCTTCTTTACTCTTTTGTTCAGTGTACTGTAGCTTGCATTCAAATCCTGTCTTTGTTGCTCGTCGATGCACAGGGTAATTTTTCCCCCATCCTTCTCTCTTCTATTAGTCTCCATGTGTCCGTGGTGAGCCACTGTTTGTCCTGTCTCTTCTTTCTGCCTGGAACTTCCATGCAGGTTTGACTCCACACCGCTTTCGGGCTGTTCCACTGCTTTTAGACGCTAGTCTCTTCGCTGGTTTTGATTTTTGTCTCCGCCTTTTTCCTTATATCTGCAGTGAAGATGTCCTTTGTGGCCTGATCCTTCAGTTTTGAGTAATGAACTTGGCTTTTCATCTTTCTGCAGCTCCTGTTTCTTTGAAAGTTTTAAATATGATTTGAAGTGCTCCTTGTACGAGATAGTGGTCTGAGCCAACATCTGCTCCTCTTCTTACTTTTGTGTCCAGTAAGCCGCATCTCCTTCCTTGAGCAGCAATGAGATGAAGTCGATTCGGTTTTTGGTTTGCCCATCTGGTAACACCCATGTAGTCTTGTGGATATCCTTGTGCTTCTATACGCTTCCACCAATCCCTAGTTCATTGGAGGTGCAGAAATCAGCGAGGAGTTCTCCATTTTCATTCATCTCTCCGAGAGTTTCTCTACCCCTGATGAGTTCCCTTCCTCTGTTGTCTGGTCCCAGTTTGGCTCATGTCTGATGTCTCCCTTTAGTATTTTAATGTCACCGACTGGAGTACTGTCCATTGTTACCTGTAGTTGTCTGTAGAGCTCTTCCTTCTTTTCGAGGTCTGAGTTGTTTGTGAGTGCACAGAATTGTATAACTGACACTATCCTCCCTTTGAAGTTGGATCTGGCAGTCATTATCCTGGGCACGATTGCCTTCCATTTTATCAGGGCCTTCGTTCCCGTTGGTGATTTCATGATGGCCACACCATCAGTGTGCACGTGGTTGTCTTCTGGGTGACCGGAGTAGATCGCTGACTCTCCTGTTGACAACTTGGAGAGTCCACTTCCATTCCATCTACTTTCACATATTCCATTTGCTTGAATACCATATCTCTTCATCTCATTTTGTCGCAAGTTTTGTTTACAGAGTCTTAACACATCGCATACTACGAACAGCATATAATTAATCCAAACACCACTCCTTTTGGAGTCAACCAAAGCTACGACAGTCGAGTGGCGGGACGAACTACGCAGAATTTTACCGAAGTACAGGAACCTTCATCTAACAATCAAGAAGCAAGCACAAAGAAATCAAATTGGTTTACACTAGCTCGCAAAAACGGTATTGGATATTGCAACGTAACACAACGGCGTACCAAATGGGGTGGATGCTTGATCGCGAGTCTTCGGCCAAACAAGTAGACTTAAACAGTGAATGCCAACATCCTATGTCAAGTGGTGAATGCTTTAGGATAATAATTTTAGGGAATTATTTACCGCTACAAGGCAAATGTGCTTTGATTTCATTAGTGCAAATATTAAATATCTTTCAATAGAATAAGCTTATTTTCAAACTTTTTCTTATTTTGTTCAGCTATTTTACTAAGTTGTACATCTTCACTAAAGCAAAGTTCTTATGTGCTGGGTGAGATTCGGGATTCTTTCTCTGTGTCGCAATTGATATCTGTTACGAATTTAAAAATATTTATAGTAATTTCTGTAGTGTAATTTACAGATGGTTCCCATAATATCTACTCATTAATTTTGGGACAAGACGGAGGTTATGAAAATAACCAACCAACAACAACAACAGTAGCAACATCCAGCGCCAATCACCATCAACGGGAGGGATTTGAAAGAGGTTACTTCTTTCACTTATCTAGGGAGCATTTTCTCAACTACAGGAGGAACGGATGAGGATGTCAAATCGAGAATCGGGAAGGCGAGAAACACACTCATCAACCTGAAACCAATCTGAAAATCTTCGTCACTCAACATCAACAACAAAATTCGTATTTTCAATACAAATGTCAAGTCAGTCAGTTCTTCTATACGGATCAGAAACTTGGCGGGTCACAAAGAGTACTTCCAACAGGTTGCAGACCTTTATCAACAGCTGTCTTCGCTCTATACTCAAGATCAGATGGCCGGAAAGAATCACTAACAAGAAACTATGGGAACAAACAAAACAAGAACCAATCGCTCAACAAATATGCAGGAGAAAGTGGAGATGGATGGGACACTCGCTGAGGAGGCCGCTGGGTGACATCGCGCGTCAGGCCAGTGCTCGAGTGAAACCTGAAAGGGAAGCGGCGAGTGTGACGTCCAAGGGTGACATGGAGGAGATCGTGTGAAGAAGATTTGAAACAGTATGGACTAACATGGATGCAAGTGAAAAGTACAGCAGAAGACAGAAGCAAGTGGAGACGTGCAGTTGAAGTCCTATGTTCCACTAGGAACCAAAGGGAACAATAATAATAATAATTTTGGGATCAGGAATCGTTGAATAGGTATTAAATTTTAACTTGTGGTTTGTATACAGTGCACACTTGTCATATTGCGTATACTGTATGAAGACTTAAACACTTGATTTTCAATCTATTAGTTCTTAATGCAAATATTGCTTCATTTGGTTAATATCACCAGTTCTCAGACAATAGGTGTAATCCTCAGCCTGATGTATGGAAATTCTGTCATGGGTATCTGACTTCTTAAAGGATTAGGTCAAATTACAAACTTAGGACAACATGAGTATTAAAAAAATGTTGCAGTCGCAGGAGCACACATACACACACCCAGAGTATAACATGTGAATCTGAAATGTTTCTTTTGTATGCAACGTCCCAGTTATCTCAATTTACTAACATTGTCCATGTTCTCAGTGGATTCGATATATAAAGCTTCAGCTACCAAACTCATACTCTTCAAACTGTTATATTAAATTTTGAGATCGTCGTTTTGTCCCACTATTTCATGTGAAATATGGGATTGATTCAACACCTAACCTAAAAATCAGGAAAGTTCTACTAATGTTACGACAAATGGCAAGGAATAAAGAGAACTATAAAACACAAGTATCAAGTTGTATAAAGTAACAGCTGCTGATATGATTATGATCAATAAATTGTGTTTGAAGCTTCATCATCCAGTAAATAATACTGTGATGCATCCAATGAACAAATTAAAATGGAGTTATACATAGCACACCGTCCAAGTTTTACACATACATTGAGAAAAATCTTTTTCCTCCTCAAATAAAAGAAGTAGATGTGTGGCTTATTGACCTAAGCAGCTGATTGTCAGTTAGTTCGAATCAAGTACCGTTAGCCCTCACAAAAAATAAGTCTGGTTGATTGTGTGGTACCCAAGAAATCTGTTCCAGGTAACTAATTTCTAAAAAAATAATAAACTCATAGAAAATTCACAAAACAAGTATACTACAGTTGAACAATACACACCCACCGGGGTTCGAACCCACCATCCAGATTTATAGGCGAGAATCTTTTCTCCTACCTGACTTCGTGGAACACACTGGTTACAACTTCTCACTATATATCACGAATCGGCAGAAGTTAGAATTAATGGTTACTGGATCGGATTCAAGTGGCAGAATAGTCCTGGGTTCGAAACTCACTGGGTGTATAATTGTGGCGAAGATTCCCAAACTAGGACGAAAAAGAAACGCAGTACTGTCTGCGAGTTTTCCAATGCTCCTCTCTAACACTGATGTCAGCTCGTCACTATACCTGTAACCAATCAAATCTCTGAGAACCAACACTTGATAAAATAGAACAAAAACAAAATAGTACAATGATATCAACACTCTTATATAAAGTGAGTGATCAGCAGAATACGAAAAAAAACACATAGAGAATTTGAAGAGATTAGCACACATACTACTTGTATAACTCACTGTAATTTTTGTCATAGAGGAAAAGAAAAATCCATATGCATAAAATAAACAAAATAAAAAAGAGACAAGGAGATAGAAAATTTGATTGATTGTCAGTTCCATAGTTGTGAAAATGAAAGTCATACGAAAGAAACATTGTCGAATAATATGATGTTGCTAAAATGTACACAAAGTTATAAAAAGAAGTTGAGTATATATATCGTCGATATCAAGTGTGAGTAGTCGAGGCGAAATTTCACAGAAATCAAACGAAAGTAGAAAGGAGAAACCTCCGACACAACAGGGAAACAGTATCAAAAGGGCAGTAGGACACAGAAAATATGATAAATAACGTATTTAACAAATCATCACATATAAATATATATTGGTGACTTTTACACGTTGAAGGAAGATTAATATATACTTAGAGATATCTAATGCCTTAGTAGATAATTTGGAAGATTAAATATTAGAAATGTTTTCAGTTAACTAAAAAGCAAACTTGATTGTAGGTAATTCGATAATGGAAGAAATCTCCAGTAACATGGAGGATGTTTGTTAAACTTTCTGTTCTACACACACACACACTAACTTAAAGTGTATGATACTCTTAGGAAGTAGCAACTTTAGCTCCTGGTATCTTGGCAATTGACTACAAAAAGAGAAAAAAAAGAATAATATAACAGCGTCAGCAAAGGATTTGTGTTAGTCTAATAAAGGAAACGTTAAAATACGTTTAAAATATTATACATACATATATGCTTAATTTAGCGTACTGTCATCTTTCAGCAACGCCGAAGTCTTACATACAACAGTAAGTAATGTTTAAATTCCCTACGACAATCATCTACGACAAAAAATGCACAAAGTTACATAAATCAGTGATTGCGTTGGTTCTTCAACAGTAGGTCCCCACAAACAACTTGATACGGCCAAGGGTGGGTAGGATTCCGTCTCTTCTTCTATAAATGTTTTCATGTGATCACGCATTTATAGCCTCTATCAGGTAAGTCCTAATCACTACCTCCGTACGGCGAGGATGTTCTTCACAAAAGTGAAATGGCGAATGTGAACGTCTGGTGGATATATGCTAGTCTACCTAGAAGAGCTGAAAAACCATGATTCCAAACTAATGATGTAAATGGGCTCCAGAATCCAGATGCATCGAATAGTTTGTGAACATACTTTGGTCACTGGTAGCCATGGGAACGTAGCTGCACTGTCTTTTGGATCAGGCTTCCGGTCAAAGACTCGGAGGAGGGGTGGTTCCTTAAGACAACCACCTGTTTCGGTGTGTGTGTGTGCCCGAGAAGTAGTCAAATTCTCGCGCTAACTTTGAGACAACAGATCCATTGGCAATTATAACTGCACACTCACTATTGCAGACTACAATCACATTCTCAGCAACGTGGTCCTTTTTGACTCATTGCAGTAGATTGCTTGACAACCGCGTGGCTAGTCTGAGTTGGATTCCCAGCCGACACAATCCTACACCTCACTAAGCTGACAGTAGGCTTAGAAAAGATGGAAGGTTTTGCAGGGAAGCTTGAAGCCCCAGTTTGCAAATAAAAATAACACTACAGCCAGTGAGATTTCAAACCTTGAAACTCTAGTTCCACTCGGAAAGTAAAGGACGAAAAGAATATGGAAAAAACAAACATTTTTTGTACATTTTCTAACATTAATTAGATGTTGCTTAACTCAGAAATAAGTTATCCGATTTAAGGAGAAATACACTTTGAAAATTCTCCAAGTCATAATGAATGTCTTCCAGTATCTTGACATAAATAAACACTGAAGTTTCTACTGAAGTTAGGTACAGGAAAAATGTCATAACATTTTACAGTAGTAGATAGTAAAACTTCTATTTCTCTGTTATCGTATTTCAACCTTCGATTGGGCCCGATTCTAGTAGACTTCTCTATGACGAAACGTGAAATTGAATCATTGAAAGGTGTCATCGATCAGTTGGATATGCATTGAGGTTATGTCCGATGACATATTTAACATTATTAATGAAATTTAGCAACGTCTACACCTCGCTCACTATTGTAACAACAGAAGGCAAGACACGGGAGCCAAGGTATATTTTTCTTTATTCAAACCGCTGTTTATATATGCACAGTTTATATTCATTAACCAATCACTGAGCGTGTGATTTCGGTTTACATCAAACGACAAGAAATAAAATGTTTAAATCTACATAGTATTCCGTTGCCAATGCAGTAGTGTTGAACTGTGGGAAAGTATTCTGTCTCTAACATGAAATAGAATGTTCAAATAGATATATTGTATTTTGCTGTTCATGCCCAATTGAACTGTGGGAACATGTGAGAATTACACACATCGTCTGTATCACACCACCACATTCGTCCCCCGTCAAAAACTTTGGACTGAAGTCGGTTGGATCTTCTTGGTGCTAGCGGCTTTGTTAGCTTGTCTTGCTGTATCGAGTTCCGGTGCTCTCTGACATTCGCCCGATCCTCTTTGTTTACATTTCTGATCGTAAATATGTGACCCCGTCTCACAGTGACCATGTATGCTCTTTCCCACTTTGGGAGCAGTTCGCATGACCCTGGCTCACATTGGCCGGTGTTTCGCCTCATACTATCATATGCTGCCATCGTCCAACCTCCCACCAGCGTTCCAAGTAACAGCCTCATCGCAGACGGGTTTTGAACGCCACTCAACTGCGCAACAGCCTCGAAGTCCTGCCTGAAGATTCATATGTCTCCGTCAAACACTACAGGGCATAGACTTTCCATTTGTTGGCAGGCAGCGACACCAAATGTAACAACAGAAGGCAAAACACGGGAGCCAAGGTATATTTTTCTTTAATCAAACCGCTGTTTATATATGCACAGTTTATATTCGTTAACCAATCACTAAGCGTGTGATTTCGGTTTACATCAAACAACATGAAATAGAATGTTCAAATATACATAGTATTCTTTTGTTAATGCAGTATATAACCGGGGGAAATGTATCCTGTCTCTAACATCAAATCGAATGTTCAAACAGATATGATATTGTATGCAGTATTGAACTGCGGGAATATGTGAGCATAATATTCCGTTGGCAGACATTGTCTTTATCACACCTACATACTTTCACTGAATATTGACTCCAGGTTCCAGCTGACCGAATTTGAAAATACTAACCACACTTACAATAATTGTCAACATTTTATTTTAAACAGAATTTCCTTATTGTGTGTTTAGCTCGATAATTCCTTTAAAGCTTTGATTGGTTGAACAGGTTATGTTTTGTACAAAAAACATTTGCGTAAGTTTGATTGGTTGGAGGATTTCATCATGAGCGGACATCAGTTAGAGAACCACTGGAAAACCTGGGAGTACTGGACAGCTGTTTCGTCCTAATTTGGGACTCCTCACTAGTACGCACTCACCGCCAGAGTTCGAACCCAGGACCTTGTGGTTACAAGGTGAGCTCGTAGACCATTGAGCCACTGGGACCCGATCTAATGGTTCTTGAATTCTAACTTCTGCCGATTCACGACATAGCGCGACCATTTCGCAGTGTTTTGTGCGATGAGTTACTGCCTCATCTTTGGCCTGCTGTACCCCGGTGGGTGCGTACTGATGAGGAGTCCCAAATTAGAACGAAACAGCTGTCCAGTACTCCCAGGTTTTCCAGTGGTTCTCTAACTGATGTCAGCTCATGATGAAATCCTCCAGCCAATCAAACAAAAAATCCCTACAAAACCAATACTTGAAAATTTGTGTAAGTGATAATATCTGATTCTCTAAGATTGAGTTACTCGTGTGTATTATTGATATGTTCACAGATGAAGCCTGGTGGTGGGGAACTGAAATGTTTATCAGATAATTTCAATAACTGATATCTATATACTGGGATTTTACTGGGTAAAAACATTATCATTTTCATATTAAATAAGTTTTAAAAATGAGGCAGAAAAGATGATAAATTTATCAAATGAAAATAAAGCATACATCATAATGCTTACCTGACTAAGATCAACACTTGTTAAAGCTCGTACTGCATGTGGAACAGTGCCTACAAGTGTGGCAAAATCTTTACCTAGATTAGTAAGACTTTGTACATTAACTGGATCACCATTTGAACTATTCATAATGACAATTTCTTTAGTTTTGCTCAAAGGAGCTGCAACTTCAGCAGCTATTTGAGGTAATGTATCCAATATGAGATTTAGGATAGCAGCATCACCGTATTTATTGTAGGCTTCAGCTCTTAGACGCATTCTTTCTGCTTCTGCTCTACCGACAGCTTCCAAAGCTTCAGCTTTAGCAATACCCTTCATACGGATACCATCAGCTTCAGCTTGAGCTAGAAGTATTTTCTGTGTCCTTAAAAGAAAATTGTTTTATAAAGGGAAGGAAAACAAAATTACAGACTTATTAACAAATTAACAGTGCTATGAGAAGTGAAATGATCACCAAGTGGGAATTATGAACCAATTGTGGGGTACATAGGAATCTTTTGGACAGTTTACGGATAAATGCAGGAGCTATGATGATTCATATTTGAAAGCTTGAACTTTATATTCAAGAAGAAGAAATTTGTTTAGTCAATCATTATATTTGCAGTAGACTTAACCATAGGATGTTAGATAAGGAGGGCAAGTTAATCGATAAAGTTGTGAAGCTAAACCGATTGAAATGGATAGGACGAATGTTACGCATGCCAAGCCACCAAGAGGCGTAGACTACCTCACTGGGGTCATTTGGACGCTCACAATAAATGGTTGGAGACTGTTATGATATGCGTTGAAATTGTCTTCAAAGGCACAAAGGCATCCATTGTTTCTTATCTCCAAGATCCATTCAAATTCTTGTGTTTTTCCATATTACTATTCCTTCTCAAGTATATTTCAGCTTATTAAAGTTCTACGGAATTTCTTGTTTTTCATTTTTTTTCTGTCGCTGTTTACTATATGGAGTATGGCGACTTGGACTGACGAACTTCTGTGGTAAGTTGTATGTTGAAACTCAATCTCAGTCAGTTAAACTCACCCACTAAAAGCACTATATATATCTCATAAAAAAATGCCTAATTTAACACTATTACTCCAAATTTTCCATTGGTTAAACTGAATTACACTCTTTCGTCTTTATTACGTCATCCGATCAAATGGTGAAATCTCACATTGATTTTGTTAAATCTTTACTAGATTTGCTAGACACATCACACTAGTTAATAGTGTCCAATGGAAGTATCCAATACAGTCAGTCCTACAGGAGGTCAATCACGAGCCCGAATACCTCAGTGGTAACATCTCTGACTGCAGGCGGCACTGGGTGACGCCGATTTGAATCGCAGAGGGATGGGACATGAGTTCCTTTGAGGTCGCAGGTACGCCTTGCTGACTTTTGAGTGCCAACTAGCACGAAACCTGGGTCCAAGGCTTCCTATGGCCGATTGCCTCCAACCATATAACATCAACTAGATTATAACATTTAGGTAGCGTAATTTCTGTTAAATGTTCTTAGCTTTGATGAAAAAAAAATGAGTCTTGGAAAGGTTTCTTCATTTTATCGTTACGTAAATGTTATGTAAATCCGTGCAATTGTACGGTTTGAGAATAAGTCTCCGAAAGATTGGCGCTTTACTTGTTGCTTTTTATCACATGAAATGAGGTTTCTAAATAACAAATAAATCATTGTGAAAAATGATCCAATTGTTAAAATATGTAACAAGTTTGATCACGTCTTGAAGTCAGTCAGAGAACTGCTGAAAACACAGTTCTTTCAACCTTCTTTTTAGGGAGTCCCGAGTAGTTCCCATTCATGACACCACCAGCAGGGGTCGAACCAAGGATCCACAGGTAACGAGGTTAGTCTGTTAGCCATTGATAGGGAATCTAATGACTAGCCTTTGAATCGTAACTTCTACCTTCTGATGATATTTAGCGCCACCGTCAGCCAGTATCATCGGCGAGCATCCGTTCTCACACCCAAGTTGATAGATCCCTGTGGTCACGACCTGTCACTATAATTCTAGGGATGCCACCTCCTAGTCAATCAGTGGAGGTCATGGTGTGTACTACTGAAGAGTCTCAAACTAGGAAGGAACAGCTATCCAGTACTCAATAGTTTCTCTAACTGCCTTCAGTTTGTGATCAAATCTGATAGCAATCAGACACTTGAATATTAATACCACACTTTAATATAAATTTTGATAAAGTATAACAAATAAAAGGACATCTGAAATTAGTGAATGCATCAAAATGCTATTTTGTAAAAAGTAAAGTACAATTACTAGAAGAGTGTATATCTAGTAAAAAACAAAAGAGAAATCAATATACACTAAAATAACCTTTTCAGGTGAAAACAAAAACCAACACTGTACCTTTTATTTCAGGTAAATGCTTAGATCATAAGTAAATAAGCTAAGTAACTCATTAATGCTACTGCAAAGCATTTGAAATTAGTTGTGTAATAAGCCGTGTCAAAGATACTAAATAACTACCAAGTGCAAGAGAAGATAACATAGAATATTGTATAGAATAATCGATAAAAATTAATGATCAGGTGTTGGTTTGCAGGGCTTTAATTGATTACAGGATCAATCTACGAGCTGACATCAGTCAGAGAACTATTCGAATGCCAGTAGACAGGGATGGATAGCTGTTCCACCCTAGTTAAGGACTCTTCACCACACTACTCACTTTCTCGGGTTTAATCCCAGGATCTTCTGGTTACAAGGCGAGCTCGCAGATCATTAAGTCACTGGGACCGGACCCGATGGTCAATGAATTTCAACTTCTGCTAATTTGTGATATATATATATATACTTAGCGCCATGGTCACAGGAGAGTAAATTTCCTCTTGCCTGACTTGGTGGACCAGGCTGGGCTGGGTCCTAGTGGCCTAGCGGTCTACGAGCTCGCCTTGTAACCGGAAGGTTCTGGGATCGAATCCTGGTAGGTGCGTAGTGTGTTGAACAATTCCTAATTAGGATGAAACAGCTGTCCATTACTGCCTGCTAGAATTCCAATGGTTTTTTAACTGATGCTAATTGGTGATTAATCCTAAAAGACAAATTCTATCATATATAAATTCGATCATAATAGATATAAAAAAGGTTTTAATTAAAGTTTAGGTATCATAGTTCATCAGTGGAGATAATTCACTGGAATAAATGAAAAACTGAAACAGCTAATATTTCCTTTCTCAACCTTAAAATATATGAGTTCGTTTGACTAGTAGAAATGTAACTTTGACTGGACATAGTAACTAGTGTGATGTGTCTAGTCCTTTCTTTGGTGTAGACTGAATTCTATCAGTCAGGTTTGCAATGTGGCCACCACTCCACTAGGTAGCTCGCCATCATGGTGCACATTGATTTGATGATATTAGATGCTTGAAGGCAATCGCCAGGAAGCCTTGCCTCACCTAGGTTTCGTGCTGGTTGGCACAATGACTGCAGCACTCAGTGACGAGGGTTCGAAACTCAGAGGGATGGGATATGAGTTCCTTCAAGGTTGCAGATACGCCTTGCTGACTGGTGAGTGCCAACTATCACGAAACCTAGGTAAAGCAAACAAGTTAGATGATGTGTTATATTGATGAAGAACTTTTGAATTAAAAAAAAACAACATTATGTAATAACAGATTAAACTGAAAGCAGTCGACTTTGCTTCTTTTCTTTTTAAACTATCATAATAGTTTACAGTAAATGCACGAAGTTTTGATTTTAATTATCTCGAAACTGAAGTATTCGAGTGGAGCAAAGGGCTTCAGGAGTACATCTCCATTTCACTCAGTTCTGTGTAATCGTCTACAGCTGGCCTAACGATTTCCCAATTAACTAACATTTTCTCTTCACACGACTTCCTTCATGTCACCATTGAATGCTAAAGTCGTTGTTTCTCACTCGCATTCCACTAGAGGATCAGGCGCATCCGATCACTTGGCGGTTTTCCCAGAGTATGTTAAATACAATTCCATTTGCTTCTGCAAGAATCGGGAAAGCAAGGCAAGCTTTCATTACCCTCAAGTCTGTGTGCAGGTCAACAGCACTCAGCATCAAAAATGAGATCCGGATTTTCAACTCCAATGTGAAATCAGTGCCACTATGCGGATCAGAGACTTGCACTGCGCATCATAAAGAGCATCTCAAACAAACTACAGACCTTCATTAACAGTTGTCTTCGCTCAATACCACTCAAGATCAGATGGCCGGCCAGAAAAGGTCAGCAACAGAGATTTCTGTCAATGAGCGAACCCACCAGGAACTGATTGTGAAACAAATAGGCAGGAAGAAATTTAGGTGGATTGGCTGGCCATACTCTGAGGAAACCATCAAGTGACATCACTAGACAAGCCCTAGAGTGGAACCCGAAAGGGAAGCGGCGAGTTGGTCGTCAGTGCAAGGGTGACTTGGAAGAGGTAATGTGAAGAGGAGATGAAAACGTGTGGGCAGACTTGGAGCCAGGTGAAGACTCTAGCAGAGAACCAAACGCAATGGAGACGCATGGCTGAAGCCCTATGTTCCTCTAGGAGTTAAAGGAAACAATAATAATATAGATTTGGTGGGCAATAGGTTATTGGTTTATTCGTTGTAAGAGTTTCTTGTTGCCTATCCCTTGGTGACCGTCCATTTGATTTTCAGTATCCAGCCAGAGAAAGCAGCTGTTCATGAAAGTCTCCAGGCTGTTGTAAATACTTTGGCGATATGTGCGTAAAAGTTTTAAGCTACATAGAAGAATTGACGTGATATTAGTGTTTAAAACGACGATCTTCGAAATGAACACTAGTGTTGCTTTCCTAATCCATTTCTGGCTGTCAATGAAATTCTCAAACGCGCCACTTGCTGATGGTTGAAATGACGTTGTTTAAGCCACTGGAAGATACGGATTCTTTTAGATTTCACCTATTCATGGTGATTAGCGTTTATTGTTTGTTGGTCAGTCTTGTCTTCACTGCTTTTTCTGTCGAATTTTTTTGTGTTTTACCTGTACATCTTCGAGTTTGTGTAACATCATCATCAGCATCATCGAAATCCACATCTTTTAGGGGTTTTTTCGTCAGTTCAACGTATCCACAGAAAGTTAATTTCCAAGAATACTCATTTTGTAGTGATGTCAAAGAATATTTTTACCAGACTATGGTAATTCATGTATTATATATTATTTGATTTACACTCAATTTACAAGGAATATAAGATGTTAACCAAGCAACTCATAGTCAATATTCATAAAACACTTTAAATGTTAAAAAAGAAAACATTTTAAACGGGTTGTGTGATTCAATCGTATCAAATGTAAATAACAACTATTGATTCAATGTATTTTTACTATTATGTTTGCCTGAGACGTATCAATCTAATGCTAGTCGTATGCTCGGAAAAACTTGGCAACAAGCAGAGATGAGTGAGTAATCAAGCTTGTAGGGGATCAGACAAGAATAATCTTACTCACGTTAACACTATGCTAAATGATGTAACCACTTTCCCAAGTACTTTTATTATTATTATTGTTCCCTTGGGTTCCTAGTGGAACATAGGGCTTCAACTGCACGTCTCCACTTGCTTCTGTCTTCTCCTGTACTTTTCACTTGCATCCATGTTAGTCCATACTATTTCAACTCTTCTTCACACGATCTCCTCCATGTCACCCTTGCACCGACGAAACACTCGCCGCTTCCCTTTCGTGTTCCACTCGAGCACTGGCCTGACGCGCGATGTCACCCAGCGGCCTCCTCAGCGAGTGTCCAATCCATCTCCACTTTCTCCTGCATATTTGTTTGGCGATTGGTTCTTGTTTTGTTTGTTCTCATAGTTTCTTGTTGGTGATTCTTTCCGGCCATCTGATCTTCAGTATAGAGCCAGCGAAACAGTTGTTGATAAAGGTCTGCAACAGCCTGTTGGAAATATTCTTTGTGACCCACTGGCCAAGTTTCTGATCCGTATAGAAGAACTGACTGACTTGACGGTTGTATTGAAAATCCGAATTCTGTTGTTGATGCTGAGTGACGAAGATTTCCAGATTGGTTTCAGGTTGATGAATGTGTTTCTTGCCTCGAAACAAAATCATTACATTGTAAAGTGTTAGTTTGAATAGTCAGAATTTATCGGCTTATTCCTAGTCCCAGACTCTTCAGCAGCAATTACTTATCACTTTGACGGGGAACGCAAATCCAAGGTCTTCGCGTTATCAAACTGACTGACTAGGGGATGCAGTCCCTGGAGTTCTCCCGAGAAGTAATGACCACTGAAGTCTGCCAATTCGTATGTGACGATACATATTCCCCGATGACATTGACTGACGGTGGCGTTAAATATAGCAAGATGGTAAAAGTTAAAATTCATGGGCCATTGGATTCCATGCCAATGGCTAAATAGTCAACTGGCTTGTTTTATCATTTAAACGTCATAGGGTTCGATCTCTGATGCCATTGTGAGTGCATATCACCGAAGAGTTCCAACCAGTAATGTCAAACCGTGATCACACAATAAATCAATAAAAGTGTATCAGTGCAAGCCAGAAATTGTTAGTAATCTTAGACTGTAGATTACTGGTTAAGAGGGGTAGGTGGGTGGGGATTATTTCTTGCCAAAATCTGTATGAATCACCTTTTTCCTTACAGTTAAACACAGAAACCAAATCCAATAACGCCAAACCACAATGTTTGACAGATAATAAACAAAAATTAACACTTATTTAATATAAATGATGTTAAAATTAAAGGCATCACTTTTCAGTTATAACTTACTTATGACCTTCAGCAATTTGTTGTAATCGATAAGCTTCTGCTTCAGCTGGACGTCGTATAGTAGCATCCATATTCTTTTCACTGCATAATATACCCTTTTCTTCAATTTCAATTTGTTTACGTCTTTCAACAATATTAATATTGACTTCTTCTGTTCTAATCTTTTGTCTTTCTTTAGCCGCCTTAAAAGATGATGGGGAGGGGGAAACGTATTGTTTTTAAGGAACACTTGACATCAATCAGTGATACAAAAAAAAGAGAACTGAAACAACACATCGCTACCATTATCACATTATATTCTAATGAATTTAACAAATTAATACACAGGTCTTCAAGTCTTTCTGAACTTTCAATAGAGGTAGCGTTATTTTAACGGAGTGGGACGCTTGCTAGCCTGAAGCCCAATCCCCCTCTTCATTTCGCCGCTTATTATCGGCTAGTCAGCTAAGCAAAGTTTATGAATACGTCGGCTTGGAATCGATCTCGGATCACTTGCGTGCATTCTACCATTGAACCACCAACTCACGATAATTTAGAAGATAGAATTCAAGGACCACTGGATCGGGTCCCAGTGGTCTACGAGCTCGCCTTGTAACCAGAAGGTCCTGGGTTCGAATCCCGGCGGGCGCGTACTGCTGGAGAGTCCCAAACTAGGACGAAACAGCTGTCCAGTACTCTGAGGTTTTCCAGTGGTTCTCTAACTGATGTCAGCTCATGATGAAATCCTCCATGCAATTAAACAAAATCCCTACCAAACCAATACTTGAAAATTTAATAATAATAATAATCTGCTTTATATCCAAAAACAGTACTTATAATACAGAATGGAATTCTCAGCATTTGTCACAATATCTTGCATCTAATTCACTCAAAATATAAATAAAGTTGAAACAAAATTAACTAAAGGAATTTGTCCACATTTACGGTATAAAGTCAAATATATTCGAAGTACGGACTGAGAATATTAAATACAATAATAGTAATAATAATAATAATAATAATAATAATAATAATAATAACGGTGAGTTTGTTTCAAACAGTCTTGTCGATTCAGTTTGGAAACTTTAGCATGTTATAGATTATTGGATCTAATGTTCTGTTGATGCAGCATGGTGAGGGGAAAGACAAAATTAACAGTTATAGTACAGCTTAAATTATGTCCACACTTATGAAAAAATAAACAAATAAAAACAAAAATTGAGAAGATTATAAATATAAGAAATACAATAACAATAAAGTTTGATGCTTTAAGGGTGGAGGAAATGGTTTATTTAGTAGTGCAAAGAAGGTTAGTTAGTTTAATCGTGACTGACACTATTTTCATCACATAAAATACGTGACAAATATGGTATAGTGGAATTTTTATACTTAGACGTACGTGCATAAAGTCTTCTCAAAAGACTCCTTGTTTTACCTGAGGAGACACAAGGTTGGAGCTGCGGGTAGAGTGGGTGCTCAGAGTGTGACAGAATTCCTTTAGCGAATTTGTTGCATGACATCAAGGGCCTATCAGTGACAATGTCAACGATATGGCCCAATGGGATACCACTCGCTCTACTGACAGTTTTCAGAGTTCTACGAAGTATAACATAGTCTTTTTTAAGCAATCTAGGAAAGAATAAGGGTGAACAGTAAAGAAGAATAGGTAAGATGCACGAGTTGACAAACTGTAAGAGGAGGGGTTGAGTTATACCTGATTGCTTTAACTTCTTAATGTAAAAAGCCAGACGAAATATTCTTTTAGAAATCGCTAAGACATGGGAAGACCAGGATAGGTCAGAAGAAAGAATTAATCCAAGATGCTTAACTTCAGACTTGATTTCTATATGAGTATCATCAATTTTGCAACGGTCATAGGAACCAACAGCTTCATTTAACTTTCTTTTACACCGGAAACTGAAATTAACAGTATGACCTTTGGAAGGATTTAGTTTAAGACTATTAGACGAAGACCATTTGCCAACTTCTGATAGAAAGCTGTTGATCTTAGTACAGGCATTGAAATAGTTAGATCGTCCGCATACTTGACAAATTTCATTTCATCATCAGAGTGAGGCAAGTCATGCAAGAAGAAAGAAAACAGAAAAAGGAGAAAGGACAGCGCCTTGAGGGACACCAGCCTCAGTAAGCAATGAAGTGGACGACTTTCCCTGACATACAGTGTACTGCTTTCTTCCTGAGAAATAAGAATGCAGCCAGTTGACAACTCAACAGTCGGTCTGAGTTTCAGCAAGCTTGTTTAACAAAATGTCCCTAGGTACTGAGTCGAAAGCAGATGTGTAACCTAGGAAGGTGCAGCGAACAAATTTAGCCCCCTTGTCTTAGCTGGAGAATGTTATGATACAAGACTACAGCTGCATCTAAATTATTTCTGCTATGTTTGTAAGCGGATTGTCTGGGATCGTTAAAGGCTTTAAGTGAAGGTTGAAGATTAAGTAAGAGCAACTTTTACATAGTTTTTAGAAAAGGAGAGGAAATAGCAATAGGTGTACATTTAAAACATGTTCCAGTAGATGACTTAGGTATAGTTACAGTTTTAATATCCTTCCAAACACGGCTGGCACGACATTTCTGGGAAAAGATTCATAAAATATGTCCATGAGAGAATGACACAAGATATAACTATCTGGACCTAGGCTACAAGAAGGGTTCAGTGACTGAAATAGGTAGTTCAATTGCATTTAGCACAATTATTCAGCTTATTTATAGTTTATCGATTGGGATTAAATGTATCACATACATTTGGAACAAGACAGATAAGCGAACAATATTATTTACAACTAGATCTTCTTCAGGCTTCACTCTATTTTACATAGATTTATATATAATAATTTTAACCAATTATGGCGAATTTGTGGATCAAATAATAATAATGTGTCAAATGTTTTGAATGTCAGTAATAACGATGATTGTAATGATAACAAAATAATGATAATAAGGATTAAACATGCAGCGATAAGAATAACGAAGGTAGTAATATGTGTATTTGTAGATAATTCAATAAATAAATTAGGTCAAATCTTATCACGTTACGTAATACTAAAGGTGAAGTAAACAGATAATCACAGTTCAAATAAATATCATTAAAAAAACACGAATGAAATGGAAAATAAGAAAGGGTGGGAGGGTTTTCAATTAGAATTTACCTAGGCAAGCAAAGGAGAGTCAAAGGTAGAATAAACTTCTTTTGTATGTATGTATAGACTAGCATTGTTCTCTCTCGAATTGATTCCCATAGCTTCTTCGGCTATGTGTAAAAGGCGGGTTTAAATTCCGTCCGAAAGGTTCAATGGAATGCGATAAATAACTTTGAAGGCATTTTTTCTGTCCACTTGGTGACCGCTATAATCAATCAAATGAGTCAAAATAGAACTTCTTATAGATTTTATTTGATCTTTTCTGAACCATGAAGGAAAGTCAGCATACATTTATCACGTAAAACACTGAGATGATCTGTTAGCGTGTTGAACTGCACCTATTATCTCCGCTTTTGTTTGGACTGTTATCCACATTCAGGATATGAGTCGCATATAGCATACAATAACTGATGATTCTCTACACAATTGCCCAGACTGAAGTTGGCGCCCCCGGATTCGAAAGTGGGCCCCCAATGGTTGTAACCTGAGTGTTAAGGCCAACAGAAGTCATATTTCCGCTGACTTTAGCTTAAAGTATGTCAAAGAAATAAGTAAAGATAAATAAAGATGACTGCGTGATATAGGTCTAAACATCATCTTCAGGTGATATCTCATGAGGAGACGAATTTAACATGTCATTCATTTCTATTTGACTGAGATAATGTGGTAAGTTTGACTTTCTTTTCAAACTTCTGATCGTTTTTTTTTTAATATTTTGAACCATATTATTGTTGCTTATATGTTATTTGATTAATCACAGCCTCTTAATAATAATAATTTTGCTTTATTCCAGAAACAGTACTAGTGGTACAGTGTGGAATTTTCAGCACATATCTACAATATTGCATCTAATTTTACCAAACATTTAAAAGGAGTATTTCAAAAAATAAATATAAAGACAACAACAACAAAAACAAAAGAAAAAAACAAAATTAATGAAAAAATGCGAAAAAACACCAAGAAGTAGGAAGGAAAATAAACAACATAATAAATAATATCTCCGTATTGGGTAGTGGAAGCTATGATATGTTTATACATGGTGACAGTAAAGCTGTAGTCATACAAGAAGTTATGAAATGATATTTAGGAATGTTTATAGCCAAGATGATGAGTTAGTTTGGTTAAAACAACTCTAAACAATCATAAAATAACATTTCAGGGTTGTTGTTTTTTTTTTATTGTCAGGTCTAATGCAGTGTTTGTAGTGGAAGTGTGAGTAGTCCTGCATAATACAAAATTTTAAGATGGTCATAATGGCTTTCACAACCAAGACTGTCAGTTAAATATTACCGAACAAAAAAACAACCACAAAACTAATATTACATGGTGGTTAATGACAGGACAATTTTGTAATACTCATAGTGCATATATATTCGGAACCAGTAGATACACAAAAGAAGGAATACAGTAAAGTACAAAAAGTAAGCCAGTGTAAATAATTTAGGTAGCTAAGCATGTTTAAGAAGGAGTTCACTATAGAATACAAAATAAGAGAGAAATAAAAGAGCCTAAAATTATGTTATTAACAACAAAGCAAGTCATAGGTTTCGCGCTTAACATTGTCTCTGTCGCTTAGAACACGGGCCAAGTATGGTATCGTTGAGTTCCTGTACTTGGTTGTACGAGCATAAATTATTTTATACTGGTTTCTGGTTCTACTTGATGAGATACAAGGAGAGAGTTGGGAATAGAGGGGGTGTTGGGGGTCGGAGAGTATGGTTTTAGACAATTTTTCGCATGTATTCAGATGCCTTTCTACTAATGTAGTGACGAGCTGACTGAGTTTTGCACCACTAGTCCAACTTACTACCTTCAACATACTTCTCAGGCGCCAAGGCTATATTAACCTGTATTTCCATTAGGCTGATCTTCAGCAGATTTCTTTTCCAGGTGAATCAACGTTTTTCTCTCGCTTCTTCCAATACTAGATGACTGAGTATTTTTAACAGCTTCCTCCTTTAAAATCCATATCTGAAATGTAATTCAATTTCCTAGTAGTCTGTTGGTTGATTTACACTGTTCTTCTTAAAATTCACCATGTATTC